ACAATGACCACTCCAAGGACCTCCGTCTAAAAGAAAGCCACCCTCAGAGGTTCCTGCCCCGATGCCACAGTCCAGTTTCTCCCCGTATGTGTCTGGGTCCCCCAGAGTCTCGCCTGGAACTGGAGTTCAGAGCAAGCGAGAGCTTGTATCTCCCACCCGATTAAAAAAGCAGTGCTCCAGGGTGCCAGTCTGTTCCGCACTTCCACACCTCCTACCAGTCTCAATGTGCTTTCTTTTTTACCTCTCTGGTTGTAGTTCTTCCACTCAGCCAGCTTTCCCATGGTTCTGGATGATAGTTGTTCTGTCTTTTAGTTGTAATTTTGATGTGGTTGTGAGAGGCAGCAAGTACAGGTGTTTACCTATGCCTCCATCTTGGTTCTCCTTCTTGGTTAATTTTATTTTTTATTTATTTTTTAAAAAAATATATTTTATTGATTTTTTACAGAGAGGAAGGGAGAGGGATAGAGAGTTAGAAACATCGATGGGAGAGAAACATTGATCAGCTGCTTCCTACACTGGGGATGTGCCCGCAACCAAGGTACATGCCCTTGACCAGAATCGAACCTGGGACCCTTCAGTCTGCAGGCCAACGCTCTATCCACCAAGCCAAACCGGTTAGGGCCCTGGTGGTTAATTTAATTAGGAATATTTTTAAACATACACTTGACATACCCATTATCCAGATCAACAGTTATCAACATTTTGCACTTCTGCATCAACTAAATTAAATTCCAGAACATTCTGTCATTTCACCCTACATATCCTGTGTGCATCTCTTAAGGAATATGGACATTTTCTACATAACCACAATGCTATTCTCATACCTAACAATATTAACACCACGTTTAGTTTTTAGAGGATTTGTGTGTATGTGTGGAATTTGTTCCCTTTGTAGGGAAAGGGAGTGTTGCCTGAGAGGTGGGGGTTGTGCAGAAATCTCCAGGGAAGCTGTGTTTCCTACTGGGGAATGTGATGTGCTGGGCTCCATCCTGCTTTTGGTGGGTGGACCCTTTGAACCTGTACAATCGTGTTCTGTGGAGCAAAACAGCCCTTTATCCAGGATGATAGGGGAGTCACCTCCAAGCCAGTGACCGCTAGGATATATTTTGGACAGTATTGACTCATGAAAAATGCAAGACTTGCCATTTTTGGTCGACTAGTCCATTTCCTAAGAGGTAGCCACTTAGGCAGCATGAGGTCCCTGAGGTCACACTCACCAGAATGTCCCGGGTGCCATCGAGGATGGGGACCTGGAGCATTGGCCATGGAAGGGGGTGCTAAGTATTGGAATGGCCCTACTGTGTAGGGACCAGGTAGTCAAGCTGTTTAAAAGACATTGTACCAGACAGTATCTTGGTTTCTGAAGGCCTATCCCAGTGAAAAGAATAAAACAGGTGACATGGAAAGACCAGATTTGCCAAGTCTGGGGGTATTTTTCTTGTTTGGTTGGTGTTTTGTTTTTGTTTTGTGTTTGGAACTAAGAACTCAAATAAGCACAGCCCAGCCTTTGTGACCTGCCCTTTCGCAACAGGACTCTCACATTAACTTTTGTGATGGCCCTGTTTTGTCATCTCTGCCCAGAGAGACTTGTCTGGGTCAGCTCAGCTCAGCTCAGCTCTCAGAGGTTCCATCAAGGTCGTACATCCAAAGACCAGCTTTGTCCCCTTCTAAGAACTAGTCTTCTCTCGCAGGGTGCCTACTGGGAATGCTGCTCCTTTCTAAGGTGTAGGTGGTAGGTACCTCAGCTTCTTCCGGACCTAACACCTGTAGGGATCCACTAGGCCTCAGGCAGGAACACTTCCCGTTCTTGTCCTGAAGAGTTTCCATTCCATACCCTTCAGAGCCCCTTGGCCTGCGGGCCTGGTGAGGGTACCCAGTGCTGCCAACAGGGTCACGGGAGGATGCCCATCCTACCCCCCACCCCCATTTTGCAGACATCACGTGGTCAGTGTCCAGGTGCTGGCTAAAAACAAAAAGGAGAAGAAAGTAGGTCCCTTCTCATTTCGACTCTTGAGTCATGCTGTGCAGAGGGACATGTCAAGGTGGCACAGTCCCCACACCTTGGAGTCCAGTGTATTCTAGAAAGACCGAACCTAAGGTGGCCCCAGAGCCACAGAGCTCCTGCAGTACCTCCTCCTTCCTCCCTAACCCCCCCCCCCATGTCTGCTTCAAGGTCACAAGGTAGCCCCACTCCAGATGTGCCCCCCCCCCCCAGCTGGCTAGTACCATGAAGGGGAAGGGGGTACAGCATCAAACTTGTCACTACCCAGACTGAGGGGCTTCTGTCGTCAGCCTGACTGCCCAGTAGCACCTGGTCCTTGGGGGACTGCCAGCCCAGGACTGGCCCTCAAAGGAGCCATTCTTTTTTCCCCTCTTTTTGTGTTAATCCTTACCCAAGGATATTTTTTTCCATTGCTTTTAGAGCAGCGATCGCCAACCTTTCGGACCTCATGGACCACCAGTGGTCTGAGGACCACCAGTTGGCGACCGCTGTTTTAGAGAGTGGAAGGGGGGGAAGCGTGGAGAGAGACACATAGATTGGTTGCCTCCCAACTAGCCCCGGAATCAAACCTGCAACCCAGGTATGTGCCCTTGACTGGGAATCCAACCGTGATCCTTTGGTGCACGGGCCAACGCTCTAACCACTGAGCAACCGGCCAGGGTTCATTTTTTGAACCATTTAAAGTGAGTTTTAGACTTCGTAATGCTTCACTCCAGAGCAGGGGTCCTCAAACTACGGCCCGCGGGCCACATGTGGCCCGCCGAAAACATTTATCTGGCCCGCCGGGTGTTTTTGCCACCACTGTGTGCATAGGAATTTGTTCATAGTTTTTTTTTTAAACTATAGTCCGGCCCTCCAACGGTCTGAGGGACAGTGAACTGGCCAACTGTTTAAAAAGTTTGAGGACCCCTGCTCCAGAGTGTTCCACATGCATCTCCTAAGACTTTCTACATAACCACTTCCACCCTTTCACATCTAAGACAGTTTTTATTTGCTTTCTAGCACATAATTAAATTTCCACAAAATATTTTGATTTTTTTTTCTAGTAGAGGTGTTATATATTACATTTGGTTATAGATCTTCTTGTCTCTTTTAGTCCACTTTTGTTTTTTTAATGGCATTGACTTTAAAAAAAATACATTTTTATTGATTTCAGAAAGGAAAGGAGAAGGAGAGAGACAGAAACATCAATGATGAGAGAGAGTCATTGATCAGCTACCCCCTGCACACCCCATACTGGGAATGGAGCCCGAAACCTAGGCATGTGCCCTTGACCAGAACCGAACCTGGGACCCTTCAGTCCGCAGGCCAACGCTCTATCCACTGAGCCAAACTGTCTAGGGCATCATTGACTTTTTGAAGAGACCAGGTTGCTCATCTTGTAGAATATCAGCATTCTGTGTTTGTTGGCTGTCATGATGCTGTTGAATATACATGCCTGTGTGCCGGCTATTATCTGTACTCGTGAAGTTAGGTCTGGAGGCACAACTGGCTTTAGGCCCAGCATTTTAGGCAGAAACCTAAAGGCTTTGTGGATTTTGTATGCATGGCACTGGTCAGAGAGGCTGGGCTCCATTACTGGGGGAATTGTGACTGCAGGATCTTGAGGTTGAAAGGCTTTTCCTTGGTGATTGGTAAGTCCTGGGGGTGCAGGTACTTTGCCTCCATGCCTCACACCTGCTCCCCAACACCCTCCACTGTGTGGTTAAAAGCCTTTGATGATTCTTGCTTGAGTCATTTATTTTCATCAGCACTTTCAAAGTGATGACATTCCAATTCTATCATTATTTCTACTTTTATTGGCTTTCATTCTTCTATAGAAAGAATTTTTCCTCATCCATCAAGGATGAACTACACAGTTATCCTAAAAGATGTAGTAAATGCATGGTCCTTTGCCTTTTACTACCAGCTTTCAACATAAAGAAGAAAGGCTCCTGTGTTCCCTTTGTCAGAATCTAATATTTGGCTTTCCTTCCTGCTTCCTTGCCTTATCTTAATTGGATCAAGGGCAGCTGCTCCATCAGCAACCTGGGCTGAATGTAGTTTCCTGATTTAAAATAATTGTCAGCAACTCCTGACCCTGATTTGAACCTCTAGTGTCTTGCAAGTCTCCCTCTTTTATTTTTTTTTAAAATATATTTTATTGATTTTTTTTAAAGAGAGGAAGGGAGAGAGATAGAGAGTTAGAAACACCGATGAGAGAGAAACACCGATGAGAGAGAAACACTGATGAGAGAGAAACATCGATCAGCTGCCTCCTGCACATCTACTGGGGATGTGCCCGCAACCCAGGTACATGCCCTTGACCGGAATCGAACCTGGGACCTTTCAGTCTGCAGGCCGACGCTCTATCCACTGAGCCAAACCGATTTCGGCAAGTCTCCCTCTTTCTCTCTCTTTTCACTCATGAGTTTCGTTTGCTGGATAAGGGAGGAGAAATGACCCACCTAGCAAGTGCCAATTTTTCTGGAAATCCAGCAGGTCATTGGCCCCTGCCCAGGCTGCTCTGATGGTGTTGATGGCCACTGGCCCAGGTCGGGAGAAGTTAGACTGCTCGGGCTGTGTGCTATGTGCAATGGAGAAATGTGACGTGAGGGAGACAGGACACTGGCCAGGGAGGAATGGTGCTCAAAGGGCACTTAAGAGGGGCAGAGAGGAGAGAGAAAACTGACCAAAGGCAGGCTGCTCTCTGGGGGTTCAGGAGTTTCCAAGTAAACAGTGAGGGCCTAGGTCCCCATCCTGCCAGCCCTTCCCAAGCCTTAGTTTACTTGTCTGCAATGTGGGGGTGACTGTGACACCTGGTGCAGGGGATTATTGTGAGCTTCATGCAGTTACTAAAGGGGACTACCATCATGGCGGGGCATTAGTCTTCCCATCTTTCCTGCGTCACAGGTTAGGAGGAGGAAGAGGAAGTGAATGTGCCATGATGGGATCTGTGGGCTGGTAGGGTGTTTAGGGGAGGTTGGCTGCTCTCCTGACCCCACCTCTCTCCCTGCAGGTGTGAATGACAGAGGTGGTGCCATCCAGCGCCCTCAGCGAGGTCAGCCTGCGCCTCCTCTGCCACGATGACATAGACACTGTGAAGCATCTGTGTGGCGACTGGTTCCCCATCGAGTAAGTTAAGTGGTGCCCTCTGCCCTGCAGTTGCAGATTGGAGGGGTGGGGTAATGCCCATGGATCTGATGCAGCTGGAAGGCTTGTGCAGAGGTGAGGATGTCCTGGAGGTGCCATGGTGGCCCAGAGTCACCTTGCCTATCAGAGGAGCCCAGGCCCTGCTCCCTGACGGCCATCAGATCCTTTCCATTTCACTCTACTTTATGCAAAGAGTTCTCCAAAAGGGCTTTGCTAAGTACCACCAACTTTACTTACAAAGATGTTCGATGTACTGCTATTTATAAGTCAGAAAATTGAGAAGCAACTTAAGTATCTTAACAGTAAAGAATGGCCAACATATATTAGGGTATCTGCATACGAAAATGAAATATTATTCAGCCAGGAAAAGTGAAATCTGTCATCAAGATATACTTGACAAGGAGAGTTTTTTAATGAGATATTAAGTGAAAAAAGTAGACTAGAAAATTGTATGTACCACAATTCCACTTTTATTTGAAAACATGCATAAGATAAAAGCCTATGAAGATATATACTATCTAGCAAAGTGTTTTTGGTGTTTTGGAATGGGTAGATTATTAGTAGCTACAAGTTTGTTTTATTTTGCTTGTCTGTATTTCCTCTATTTTTCTGTAATATGCACATAGAGCTTTTGTTGTGAGAAAAATAAGTACAAACTTTTAAAAATTAAAAATAAACAAGGTCCTGCTAAACATCACGTTTCTATGAGTCTTAACCTCTGGTTTCACCCACTGCCATCAGGAAAGGAACTTGGGTGATGCCAGGCCTCATAGAGCCTTCTGGTGGGTGGTCAGTGGCCTCTGCAGAGCAGACCTGAGCGGAGCACCTCTCCACTGTGTCTCCACCCTCTTCCAGCTCTTGGTCTCAGGAAAGGCATCTGGACTATACTTGTTATGTCCCAAACCCACAGACCAATAAACCCAGAATGTCCTGTCCCCTCACCAAAACTCCTTACTGGGGCTGAGTCATCTGTCTTTCTTCACTGTCATAGGGCTTTGCATGAAACGTTCTCTTTTCTGCTCCCCTTGGGTCTTGAGTTTGAACTCTTCCAGCTGCCCCTCCAGGTACTGCTCTCATGGAGACAATGTCATGGGAGGTTCCCCCCCCCCCTCTTATCTCTCTATCTTGTAAAATAATTTTTCCATCAGAAATTTCCCATCCTGTCTGGATAGATTGCTGCTTTAAGATGATAATTCACTGAGAATGATACACTTTGGTGGAGACTAAGTGTTGGGCAGGCTCCTTATCAATCCTGGAGCAGTGGACAGAGTTGCCTTGAGTCCCCTGTGGGTCCACTGTCTGAAGCATGAGGTTAGTTGGACTTGGCCTTTGGCAGTTTCACCTAAGTTTGTTCTCCTCAGGTACCCAGACTCATGGTATCGTGACATCACCTCCAACAAGAAGTTCTTTTCCCTTGCTGCAACCTACAGGGGTACCATTGTAGGAATGATAGTAGCTGAAATAAAAAGTAGGACCAAGATACACAAGGAGGTAAGCATGTGTGGCAGTGATGGGGCTGCCAGGCCCTTGGGACAGAATCACACTGTCTGCTCTGTGGCCCTTTCCCTTAGGAGCTCAGACCATGTATGAGACTCATATCCAGGTGGTTTCTTTCTGTGTGTACGTAATACAGTCATATGTACATTAAGTAACACGTCCTAACTGCAGGCTTCTTTCTAATGACTGTCATTTTGAAATTGGGAGGGGGTGTAAATGATTCACTGAGAATCTGCAGAGTTGTAAGGGTCTGTCATTTGTATTGGTGACAGTGTCACAGAAACTGCTAATACTGCTGTGATTTGTTAAAGGAAATGCTAAGTTCCAGTTACAGGTTAGTAAAAACAAATATTTTTTTTCCTGTTCAACTTCATAGACCCCTCCAAGATCTATTTAAGAACCCTGGAGAGTCTTTGGACCCTGAGTTAGCAAGTCCTGCTCTAAATGTAAAATGCCATGTTATGGTCACAAACACATTTTTTCATGTGGTTGACTTGGGTCAAGATTCTGCCTAGCCCTAGCCAGTTTTGCTCAGTGGATAGAACATCGGCCTGTGAATCAAAGGTTCCCAGGTTCGATTCTAGTCAAGGGCACGTAAAAAAAAACACAGACAATTAGATCTTCAAAATAAATTAATTAAAAAAAAACATTCTGCCTAATGATTTGGGTCATCTTATAGAGTGACTGAGTAGCATTTATACATAGGTATTTACTCCAAGGAGGGGAAAAACCCCACCAACAACTGGCAACTGCTTCTATCTGTTTGGCTTGAGGCTATTTATTTAAAAGTGCAAGAAGGATATCTCTCCCTTTTGTTTTATTTATTTTTCAAAATATATTTTTATTGATTTCAGAGAGGAAGGGAGAGGGAGAAAGAGATAGAAACATCAGTGATGAGAGAGAATCTTCGATTGGCTGCCTCCTCCTGGGGATAGAGCCGACAACGGGCATGTTCCTTGACTGGGAATCGAACTGTGATCTCCTGGTTCTGAGGTTGGCGCCCAACCACTGAGCTAGCTAGGTAGATCTCTCTCCCTTTTAAAGACCCAACCCACTCAGGTCTACCCTAATTTGCCTGTAATTAGATTCTGGCAAAGTTGGTTTCTTTTAAGAGTAACTTTTCTATCCTAGCTTCTCATTTTTTTCCTTCCATTTTTCTGTGCTAAAATACAGCAAAAAAAGAAACATTGGCGTTTTCAGCAAGGATCAGTATCTTATTGCTCTTTCACAGAACAAACTGTCCCACCGTCCCTCCCCTGACTTGTTCCCCAAAATCCACTCTATGAAGCTCTTCCTGTGTGCCCCCAGCAACCGTCCAGCCCCACACACATGGTGACTAGATCTCTGTACTCCTTTGAATGTGTGGGTTTTCCCATGAGGGCAGAGATTGGGATTCTTTCCTTCTACTTCCTGGGTATCAGGAGAGCCTTTGCACTCTGGCACTTTCTCTGGCCCTGCTGAGAGGCAGAATGAATTCAACACTGAGGAGAGAGCAGGGGCTGTCAGAAGACATCAGCTGGGGAATGAAGTACCTGCTTTACCTTCCTGACCCTCCATGGGCTTCAAGTAACAAGAGCAATACGGATCCCTCCCTGAGATTGAGTTTGCCTCTGTCCAGCTTAACTGTAATGTGGAGTGCTGGGGCCGGGGTCAGGGCCAGGGACAGGCCAACCCATGTCCAGCACACGGGAGCCACTCGGTGAACAGTGGATAGGGATGAGAGAGGCCAAGTCACCAAGCTTTCTTTCCATGGGGGAGAATCCACCAAGCCTTCTTCTTTACAAAGTAGAAGAACATCTACTTCATGGTGGTCAAATTCACAGCTCTCTCAGTCCAGAATTTTATCTCTGAACCAAGAGACCCACAAGGGTTGGTGGGCCATGATGTGACACTCTGCTTGGTGTGGACAGCAGAGAGGCTACTCAGACTCCCCACCCTCTGTACTCTAAGACCACCTGGGAGCAACAAAGGATCCTTTAATTAAACTTTTTTTTTTTTAAGATTTTTAAAAATTGATACTTAGAAAGTAAGGGGAAGGGAGAGAGAAGGAAACATCGATGTGAGAGGCTGCCTCCTGCGCATCCCCTAATTGGGATCGATTTTGCAACCCAGGTGTGTGACTGGGAGTCAAACCGGCAACCTTGCTCTGGACAACGCCCAACCAGCTGAGTGACACAGACCACAGGGCTAATTAAACTTTTAAAACGTTGTGTTTGTCTGGCTGTTAGATCTCTTGGTGTGTCAGTTGACACGTGTGAGCACCATATAGTGCCCACACAGCATAGTCATTTCCTTTTTTACCATCATAGCTTCACTTGTCTGGCATCAGTGTCCTTCCTTGTATGGTCTACCACCCTTCCAAAGAGAAGCGATTTTTTGTGAGTGTTCTTATTTTAGCAGAAAGGCCCACACCCTCTTGTTTCCATGGGATGGGGTTGACTCTCCATTATTCTCTGTTCTATCCCTTCCTGCTCCAGTGGCCCCCCCAGGTGTTGTGGCTGGGAGAGTCAGCACATGAGATATGTTCTGCAGTGGGACCAAGTGCCTCAACTGTGAACCTGACTTTATTTCTGACTTTTTCTTTAGGATGGAGATATTCTAGCCTCCAACTTCTCTGTTGACACACAAGTTGCATACATTCTAAGTCTTGGAGTAGTGAAGGAATTCAGAAAGCACGGCATAGGTAAGGGGCGGTTGAAATAATGATTTTTGGTATATACACTCCACCACCACCACCCACAGCCCCGTTGACCTTCAATTCAGCCCATGCTCTTTCCACACATTACCAGGTCTTTCTGTATGGCCTCGTTCCAAAGCTTACAAGATCAGATTACTAACAACTCCCAAAGGTCCTCATTACAGAATGGGCACCTTTTAACCACACCTGCTGACACACACACACACGACTTATATCTGGTCACAAGGTATGCTTGATTAAGAATAGCAAACATAATTGATGAAACAGTCCTAGCTCCCATGGATCAGATTCTTTATCTGACGTCTCCAACTTCCCATCCCACTCAGCCACAGCAGTCTTCATTGTAACCCAGGTCTGCCCATTCCACATTTTCCTGGGCTTAAGTTTACACTTTCTGTTTTCTGAAAGGCTAGTGAATCTCCACTGTGGATCCAGCCCCTGGGAAGGAATTATGCAGCCCGATCCATGTTCCTGGACAGCCAGTGGTCTGCAGCTAACAGGCCCTGTCTGGCTGTGGGATTTTAGGGACTTTGACAGTGGGTGGTTATGGGAAGTCTTTGATAGAATGGCAGAGAGATCTGTAGAGATCTCTGAGAAGGTCACTTCCTTGTCTGCCTTATGCTTCCTCCTCACCTGCCCTGCCATGCGTGACTGTTGCTTCTTTGCCTACAGGTTCTCTTTTACTTGAGAGTTTAAAGGATCACATATCCACCACTGCCCAGGACCACTTCAAAGCCATCTACCTGCATGTCCTCACCACCAACAACACAGCAATAAACTTCTACGAAAACAGAGACTTCAAGCAGCACCACTATCTCCCCTATTACTATTCCATCCGTGGGGTCCTCAAAGATGGCTTCACTTATGTCCTCTACATCAATGGTGGCCACCCTCCCTGGACCATCTTATATCCTTTTCTTCTCAGGGGTGAGAGACAGTGGCTTCCTAGCATCAGCTGGAGCTGTGGTTGCTTTCAGATGACATTCACAAAGCAAGCTCACAGGATGCATTTTTTCCTGATGAGATGATGATGTGGGTAGATCTGATTTGCATGTATTAGGAATTGATGATCTAGTTGCAGATATTGGGAAAGCAGACATGCTCTGGCATTCATTGTTCCCTGGACTTGAGCCCAGTATAAGAGGTGGATTTTTAAATCTCCTGGTTCAAGATCCACCCATTCATTCATCCATCTATTTACCCAATAAGTATTGGTTGAGAGTCTCCTGTTCCTGGTATGTGTGGGCTACAATAGTGAACAAAATAGACAAAGCCCCTGCCCTGGTGGGGCCTGCATGCTGGCAGGGGAGAAAGCAGATAAGGGAGGTGAAAGAGTTGTTTGCTATTTTGAACACTTAGTTCAAACCTTTCTTACCAGAATGTAGGGTATGTGACCCAGTGGTGTGTCCCTCCCCTGCTCCCTCCCTTTTAACTATCTCTGGCCCTAAACAGGTAAGAGGGAAGCTAGAAGACTTCTTAATAGTCATAGGGTATGGCCCAGAAAATACTGTGTGTACGTGTACCTGTGTGTAATTACTAGTAAATAAATGAGTCTAGGATTTATCCATTTCATAGGGAAATAAACGGGAGAGAGGTGGTACAAAGCCCACAGGTCTCCATGCTCATGTGAAGATGGGTCTCTGTGCTAAGGGTACCCTTTTGTTGACCCCCCCCCCCCCATGTCACAGGAATGAGGCCCTGCCCCTCTGAGGACTGAGGGTAGGGGGAGGACCAGGAACACTTGCTCTTTTGCTTTACCCCTCCCCGCAGCACCCAGTCCCTGTCTGTTAACCTTAGTCTGTGTGTCCATGTGCCTGAGGCCTCACCTGGACGGGCCTTTTGTACGCACATGCTGCCTTTATTATTTTGCATAGTGGAGGCCCCTCCATCTATGGAGGTTTTCCAGCACTCTGCAGAGGCTAAGTGGACTTTCGGCCTCCCTTGAGAATGGCATGCTGTCTGCACTCAGTCCTGCAGGTTGCTGTTTGGGCCTCTGCTGACAGTGCCACTCCAGGGGTGTGTAGGCAGGGAAGGCGAGTTGGAGTCTTCCTTAACAGAGTCCCACGGACTACATCCAGCACCTGGGTTCTGCTCTAGCAAACCTGAGCCCCTGCTCCATCCCACACAGGATTTACCGCCAGGCCCACAGCCTACTCTGCAGCTTCCTGCCATGGTCGAGCATCTCCACCAAGGGCGGCATTGAATATAGCCGGACCATGTGATGCCAGCCGGGCAGCCTCCAACAGGTCCCACCCCTTGGCGCCCTCTGGATCTCACCTTCCTGGCCATTTGACCTCAACTGTGTTCTGCAGAGGAGCTGGCCCATCACCTGCCCCAGCTGCAGGCCCGGTGCTACATGGGCTCGGGAGCAGAGCGTCGTGGGGCGGGTATGCCCGGTCTCCAACAGGTATGCCAGAACAGGTGGTGGGGAAAGGGGGATCAGAACTGAGTGGGATGATGGTCTTGAGAAATGGAGGGCCTGACGCTTCCAACAATAAAAACAGAAGGCTCTGGATAGGCACCTGCTGCACTAAGGGCTGAGGTAGTTCCTGAGCAACTCTCAGAAACTTGAAGGAGGATTGCCCTAGCCGGTTTGGCTCAGTGGATAGAGCGTCAGCCTACGGACTGAAGGGTCCTGGGTTCAATTCCTGGTCAAGGGCACATGCCTGGGTTGTGAGCTCGATCCCAAGTAGGAGGCGTGCAGGAGGCAGCCAATCAGTGGTTCTCTCTCATCATTGATGTTTATCTCTCTTCCTCTCTGAAATCAATTTTATATAT